GTCACTCACTGAGAACAGCAGTGTGCCAGTGCATGCTCATTGCCGTGGTCACACAATGACACTGATGACCAGGGTCAGTTACCCCTTCCAAAATGGTGACTCTTTCTCTTAGCGTGAAGGACCTTAAGGGCCATGCTGCAGTAGAGCTTGAAGTTCAACAGGACTTTTGCCATGTGTCTGGAAGTGTATCTTTAGGAGTCAAGGCCTCTAAACCTGCAGAGGCCAGAGTTGTGGAGATCTGCAGCACAAACTCCCCAAGTGGCTCAGTGGAGGTGTCATCGGAAGGGGCCACTTTTACTTTCAATCCTTGATTTATGGACCCACATATGCTATAAATCAAAGATACAACACACTACTGTCAGTGACTCAGAGTGCGTACTGCATCCTGAGGATTATGTAGTCAGCACTTCCTGTGTATTCAAATGCCTGCACTAAATTTGGTCATTCTCTTTTAAGCTAACCTGTTCCTCTATCTTCCATTAAAATTTTTCTTAAACCCTCTCATATTCCATACTCTCTTTACACAGTGCTTTACTCTCTCCTTCTCTTCCCCCACAAGCATTATAGGTGGGTTATGTTTGTCATCTATATCTCCCCAATGCCCATTCTTCAAGCCACTCTACCTAGATTATTTCTGTCTCTGCTCTTCTATTTAGAGATAATAAATGGCTCTCATTATGTCAACAGGGAGTCCATGTCACCAGCAAACATGAAAAAACTTTCATCCCTCATTTCATTAGTCCTTTTAATGGAACCGAGCTATTAACCACTCTGCTTTTCTTCTGAAAGGACCTCTTCGCCCACATGACACTGTGGACACCAACGGATTAATGAAATCCAAAGGCTCTTCAAGGGAAGAACATCACAGAAAGTTGGTTTCTGGCTTTGGTTCCTGAGGAAATTATGCATTCCTTAAGAGACACCTTGTCACTTTCAAGTTAAACCAAAGAAACAAGTGTTTCTTATTGGAGGAAATACATTTATCTTCCACCCTCCCCCACCCCTTGATGCTTGTACAGACACAACACTAGATGAAATTTTCCATTCTTTAAATTTTGCATCCCATGGGATCTGAATAGTTTGGAGAGTGAAAAAACAATAGAACAATTTATTTAATGAGAGCCCTGAGAATTCAACCCTGGAGATTATGGAATCTTTAAATGTGTTCTTTTTTTTTCCCCCCCTTTCCTTAATTCTCTGATCCCAGTCAAATACAAACTGAATTGGGCTTCCTAGGGATAGACCTTGGCAATCAGAAAGCTTCAGTGCAGTGGTATCCTTTAGAGAAAGTCATTGTATCCCAGTGAGGGCCAGTGGAATGAAAAGGAAATGAGACAACATGGGTACTGGGCTTTACCTCTGGAATAATTAGACTGGGACAGTCCTGCATTACATAGTTTACAACAATGAAATCCCTGTACCTTGAAGGTACTTTAGTTTCCACTGAGACTGGTGTTTTCCAGCCTTCGTTCTGTTTCCTTCTCTCTCTTTTTGTAACCTAGAGCCTCTCTACAATAAGAATTATTTTCCAGAGAATCTCCACATCTGACATCTACTATGCACAAGGTATTGTCTATTTCGTTCGTAATGTGATTGGGTTATATTTCCTAACTATTTTGCAACAGATTTGACTCATCAATAGCACTTCAATATTGATGCTATTGTTGTTTTACCTTAGTGTCCACAATATTATCTACTAGTAATATAATTATTTCTGATGTTCAGTACTCAGGCTAATTTCCTTTCCTCATCTTACCAGTCTCTTTTAATGTATAGCAGAATTTCAAGTGATTGAAGTTGGAATTGACTGCACTGGTCTGTTCATGAATTTAACACAAATGTTTTAGTGAGTTACTGCAGAATATTCTGTTGTCTGCAGCTTTAAAACGGCTGTTATTTTTTTCTTTTTAAAATAATTATTTATTTTTTATTGTTGTTTAATTACAGTTTTCTCCATTTCACCACACCACACCCTCCCACCCTCGAACCTACCCCCCTTTGGTTTTTTTCATGTGTCCTTTATACATGTTCCTTGATGGCCCTTCCTCTTGAGTTAGGAAATCACCACTGGTTCCCTCATTTAGCAAGAGGAAACCAGTTATCTGATGAGGTTGAAGATTTCTTTTTTGTGTTATAGTTGATGCTTTTGGTCTTAATCTTTGTTATATATCTGACATTTTTATACATTCAACACCTACTACGTGCCAAGCACCAGATGAGTCTCTGGAATGACAATAGTGAACAAAAACAGTTATAACTTCTAACCCACAAGTGAACATAAAATTACCAACACAAGAGGCACTTTAAGGAATAGTACAAGATGCTCATTCTGTTGGCCTCACACACTCTGTCCTTCCTGACCCCAATTATCTGTTTTCTATCTCACTGGTCCTGAAATCCCTTCTGTTACTAACCCAAGTGCAACTGAAATTCTGTTCTCTTAACCCCAAATGCTTGATCTTTAATATTTCTTCTAATTCACAATTACCCATCTCTCCCCTCACAGAACAAACATTTATATTTCAGAGAAGACTTTTCGACTCACCTCCCAAGACTAACTGGGTCCTCAGTGATTTTTTCTCTCCTTAATTAATTAGCATTCTCTAGCCATTAGTAATAGTGAAACTTTTTTTATCATTGAGAATGTAAACATTTATTTACTTTTTAAATTAAATTTATTGGGATAACATTATTTAATAACATTGTATAAGTTTTAAGTGTGCAAATTTATAACATATCATCTGCATATTGCATTGTGTGCTCACCACCCAAAGTCTAGTCTCTTTCCATCACCATATATTTAACCCCTTTTACTTTCTTTATCCCTCACTCAACTTCCTTCTGCTCTGGTAACCACCATGTTGTCGTCTATGTCTATGATTTGTTTTGTTTGCTCATTTCTTGATTGCTGTTTTATATCCTCCATATGAGTGAAGTCATATTGTTCTTGTCCTTTTCCACATGACTTATTTCACTTAGCATGATTACTCTCAAGATCCATCCATTTTGTCACAAATGGCAGTATTTTGCCTTTTTAATGACTGAGTAGTATTCCGCCACATATATGTACCACATCTTTACCCAATCACTCATCAAAGGACACTTAGGTTGTTTCCATGTCTTGGTTATTGTGAATAATGCTGCAATAAACATAAAGGTACATACATATATCTTTATGAATACGTGTTTTCAAATATCAGGTAGATACCCAGAAGAGGAATTGCTGGGTAATGTGGTAGCTCTATTCTTAATATTCTGAGGAACCTCCATACTGTTTTCCATAGAGGCTGCACCAACTTTCATTCCCTCAAGGGTATCCATTTCTCCATATCCTCTCCAACACGTCTTTCTTGTTAATAAAAGCCATTCTAACAGATATGAGGTGGTATCTCATTGTGATTTTGATTTGCATTTCCCCTATATCTAGTGATGTTGAGCAACTTTTCATATGTCTGTTGGCCATCTGTATGTCCAACACTTGGGAAAAGTGTTCAGGTCCTCTGCTCCTTTCTTAATTGAACTGTTTTGTTGTTGTTGAGTTATATGAGTTCTTTATGTATTTTGGACATTATCCGATTATTAAAGGATAATATATATATTTTTGATATTAGCCCATATTTGTTTGCAACTATCTTCCCCCATTTGGCTGGTTGCCTTTTTATTTTCAAATCTTAAATTTGCCTTTCAACTTTTATGGTGAGTTCATGTATAGACATTTTGAATATTTAAAAATTTGAAGCCTATTAATTTCTCAACTCATGCCACTGATTTTAGTGCCACACATCTCCCCTTGAGAGCATGCTCACATGAGCACATGCACTCACACATGCTTTGTATTGTATTTTAATGCTAGTGTGCTTTTGCCCCCCTCCCTTCACCCTATTATCTCTGTAGTCCATATGCATCTTCCTTTTCTTGGAAGAATCCACTTGGCAGGAAGTCTCTGGAAGAGGGAACCATAAGGATCTCCATTAATTAGGAATGCTGCATGGTAATAAAAAGATAACAGACCTGCTGTGTTCATACTGATGGCTGCCCCAGGTTGAGAGAAACACTAATAATGATGTCCATGCAAGACAGATTTGTTGTGATATTAAGAATTGTTCACTTTTGTCAAGTGTTCACTGTATGTCACAAGAACTGCACCACAAAAATTATATGTATCATCTTATTTAATCACTCATCTGTCCTACAATGTAGGGAATAGTTACTACTAGCATTGTGGAGGTGAGGTACCTGCAGCTAAGAGAGATTACAAAACTTTGTCAAGGTCACAGACATAGAATGTGACAGAGGAAATTCTATTCCAGGAAATCTGACACAAGATCCTGTTTTCTAAATCACAGCTCTATACTGTAGTTTAGAAGAGTTATATATCAAAAATAATTATAGTAAAAAGAATATATTGATAATGATAATGATGATAGCTATAATTTATTGAGATCTTACTCTCCATAGAGACATTATGAGACAAAATATCTGTGATTAAAGACATTTTTAGACTTTACAAAGATGGTAATAGCAGTAACCACATTTGTAGAAAGAAACGCAATAAGGCACATGGAGAGTTAACTGAGACATCAATGTAGATAGAGTACCAGGTCACGTGAGTAAGTTTGTTTGAGTTGCAATCACATATTTTAATCACTATTCTGAAATCAAAGAACTATGGAGATTATCAAAGTAAACACCTTAAATGTCTTTACTTATTTTGGAAAGCTCACATGAAAGAAGAAATTGGTTTATGTCCATAGATTCAGATAACAGAAAAAGATAAAAAGAAAGATTTCTGCCAAATTAAAGAAAACTGAGTAATTACAGAATTTAAAATGAAACTGGGCTACCACTTAAATAAGTGAATCACTGGCTTTGGAATGACTGCTAGATCATGAAAGATGTCCGCACAAAGGTGGATCAAAAGGTGATGATGAGCTGATGTGCAATTTGGCTGTTCATTGAAAGTTGCTTTTGCCTCTTTCTCCAGCAGACACACCAGCAGAATGGAAGCAGGAAACCACACAGAAGTATCAGAATTACTCCTCCTGGGTCTCTCAGAGGATCCTGAACTACAGCCCTTTCTCTTTGGAGTGTTTCTTTTCATGTATCTGGTCACTGTTCTTGGGAACCTGCTCATCATCCTGGCTGTCAGCTCTGACTCCCACCTCCACACCCCCATGTACTTCTTCCTCTCCAACCTGTCCTTTGTTGATATCTGTTTCACCTCCACCACCCTCCCGAAGATGCTGGTGAATATCTGGACACAGAGCAAAGCCATCTCCTACAATGGGTGCTTCATTCAAGTGTATTTTTTTACAGTTTTTATTGGAATGGACAACTTCCTTCTGACTGTGATGGCCTATGACTGCTATGTGGCCATCTGCCACCCCCTGCACTACATGGTCATCATGAACCCACACCTGTGTGGTCTGCTGGTTTTGTTGTGTTGGTTCATCATATTCTGGGTCTCCCTGGTTCATATTCTACTGATGAGGAGGCTGACCTTCTGTGCAGGAACTGAAATACCACATTTCTTCTGTGAACTGGCTCAGATTCTCAAAGAAGCCTGCTCAGACACCCTCACCAATAACATCTTCATGTACATGGTTACTGCCCTACTGGGTGTGATTCCTGTTACTGGAATTCTCTATTCTTATGCTCAGATCATCTCCTCTTTAATGAAAATGTCTTCTGCATGGGGAAAATATAAAGCATTTTCCACCTGTGGGTCTCACCTCACTGTGGTCTCCTTGTTCTATGGGACAGGGCTGGGGGTCTATCTCAGTTCTGCTGTGACTCATTCTTCCCAGAGAAGTTTGGTAGCCTCAGTGATGTACACTGTGGTCACCCCCATGCTGAACCCCTTCATCTACAGCCTGAGGAACAAGGATGTGAAGGAGGCCCTGAGAAGGCTTCCAGAGCTAGGTATACAATGTGGGTCCCAAAGGTAAATTTAAATATCCTGGTGCTTTTTCTCTCTCAAAAGACATTATTGATTTCTTCTATTTCCAAAGCACAGATGATTTCTTTTTTTTTTCATAGTTTCTTCTCAACAACTCCCTCAGAAACTTCTTTTTGACTTTTTTTCCCTACATGGTATCCACAATGCTCAATGTTTGGCCAGCATCCTGCAACTATTCTTAAGATTTCTAACTTTAAATTTAAAGCAGTTGTCATATTAAGTTCTGACATGGTTTCCCAAAAAGTTTTCCTCATGTGTTGTTGACCTTCACCTTAATTTGGCTGTACTCTGTTTCTTTTCCCCCCAGAAAAAAAAGGAGTGAAAATCATACAGTAACAGAACAAAGTGCTTACAATATCAGGACCATACATGTTTTTCCATATGAATGGCTTACTTTCATGTTAAAAACATTTCTTTCAGATATTTATTCTTATTCAGGTGCTTCTGTGTTGAATGTATAACTGTTTTCAAAGGTTATATTCTCTGCTTAGGCTGTTCCATTTATCATTTTGTAGTGTCTTTCTTTGTCTCTTACTGTAGCCTTTGTTTTAAAGTGCAGAATGAGGGTCACTGGGCCTCTCCAGGATTTTCTGTTCAGTGTCCTACAGCAGTGTTTCCTCAACATCTGATCCTGGGCATGCTGTTAAAAGCAGATTCCCAGGATCCATCAATTCAATGTCAAGGTATATACCCAAAATAATTAGAAAGATAAATGCAAATATATACTTGCAGACCAATTTTCATAGCAGCAATAGCCAAAATATGGAAACAATCCAAGTGTTCATCAACAGAGGAATGGATAAACAAAATGAAATGTATATACAATGGAATATTGGGCAGCCTTTTTAAAGGAATGAAATTCTGAAATATGTACAACATCATTGAAATTTGAAAATATTATGCTGAGATGAGCCAGACACAAAAAGATAAGTATTGTATGAATACACTTACATGAAGTCCTTAAAATAAGTAAATTGATGGAGACAGAAAGTAGAATAGAGGTTTCCCTGGGCTGGAGGAGGAGGAGAATGGGGAAATGTGGAATGGGGATAGAGCTTCATTTGGGATGATAAAAAACGTGTGGAAATAGATACTGGTGATGGTTCCATGATATTGTGAATAAACTTATGCCATAAAACTGTACTTTTAAAAATGGATAAATGTCATATATATATATATATATATATATATATATATATATATATATATATATATATCCATAAAAATAAAAATAAAGTAAAATCATTGTAATTTATTTTAAATGTAGATTATTGGGCTCCCCTCCCCACTGCCCCTGACCCACCCAGAGATGTTGACTAGATGAGTCTAGAGTAAGTATACATCTGGGAAGATATATATTAACAAAAGCCTCAGCTGATTGTTTTGATAAAGGTAAAATTATGAACCATTGCCCCAGAGAAATGAATCTCAATGGATTGTCACAGGGACCTATAAAATTTGAAACCTGTGAACATTCTGAATTATCAGATCCAAATCAGGCCTACAGAGGCAGGCACTGGGGACTATGAAATCTGTTCTAACACATCCTCAGGGTCATTGTGGTGCAAGTTAAAGTTGTAGAACCATCCCCTAGTGAATCCTGGGACTCTTTGTACTCAGCCATCTATCCAATGAGGAAACTACAAGTCAGGAAATAATCACACTCATTCCTAACAGGAGATGCAAGGAAGTCTAGAGTGATTCTTCCCAGAGGAAAGGGATCCAGGAGGGGAGAATCATAGATGGTCCCACTCTTAGTCTCCCAGGGGTAAGGAATTGGCAAGACAGAGATGCCTTCCTTTGTGACCCTGCCTCTGAGGAGTCACCTGGTCAGGTAATTAAAGACACATTGATCAATTTGTCTAACAAACTTCAGAGGGGATTCTGCCCCAAGGGCCTATTAACCTGTAACATATCAACTTATAGTCACCAAGTCTCTCCTGTGCCGGACCCAAAACACTCGTGCCTTCTGCAGCAGATACAGCCAGGCCCTGTCACACATGCCTGGCCTTGTATCCCTGCTGTTATGGAGGATAGACCTTCCTTTTTCATCATCCACCTTCCATGAAAGAAGATTCAAACTATTAACCCTGAGGAGCCTAGTAAGTGTCATAGGAAATAAGATAAAGGAGTGGTAGAGTGAATAGGGTATTGACCATTATTAAGCACAGGACAGGGAAAACCCCATGCTGACTATGGAGAATGGGCTCTAGAAGTTACTTGCTTGGGAGGGTGAATGGCTAGACTCCTTGTTTGAAGTTGCCATTCTGTGATGAGATTTTACTTCAGTGATATGTTATTTGGTTAGGTTGTTGATGGGGTTACGGAAATGGGGAGAAAGAAGCTTACCCACCTGTCCTCTCTGACACCATTGCACTCCCCACAACCATACCGTGTAGAGGTACAGTCATTAACCTTTGGAGTGCAAATGGATGCCACCAGGTGCTGATAGTACTTTAGGTCCTTTACAGTGAAGTCTTGATCTCTTTTTCTTCTTTTCCCTTGTTACTCAACCCAAGAGTCCCAGAGCCTCCATCTTCACTCAGCCTAGACAAATCTTTCTTAATGCCAGCCTCACTTATTTAGGAACATCTCATTTCTCAGAAAGGATCTGTCTTTCCCTCTCTCTGCACCCTTATCCATGGTTCTTATTAGGAAGCTTCAAGGCTGAAGGGTATGAGGTCCTTAGAATCTAGGACTACAGTGCTTAAAGAGAGAGGGAAAGAAAAGGATGTACGAAAGTCCAACATCTAATTGGTTGTTGACAACTACCCTTTGGCTCTGGGAATTCTGGAAAACACTAGAACTGGCATGTCCCTTTCCCATAGTTCCCCCTAACTACATGTGGATGTCAAGTTTCATCTTTCACAAGGAATATGGAATCATTAGTAAGATCAAAATTATCTTTCACCTGTTTTTGCCTGTGTTCCTTTTCTTTAAAGCAAGTGACTTGGTTCTCCATCTTTAGAGATATAAGAATTCACCACCCCATTTCCTTTGACCTTAGTATCATCTGCTTTAAATCCATCTTTACTCCAGACACCAGGGAAAATTGTGATATAAATCATGACACTCTTTTGGTTGCACTTCCTCCACAGCCTCATACTTTATCCATTATTCTTTTCAAGTTCCCAGGGATGCGGTCACCTCTTCAACCTAAATCTCCACTGTTACTGTACCCCACAGTGTGCTTCAGCTAGTGGCTAAACACACTCTGACCCAGGCTGTGTCATCTGCTTGCTTCTCTGCCAGGAGAGCCCATGTTCAGTAGTCCACCTGTGTAACTTCTGCCCAGAGATCTCTTCCTTCAGGAATTCTTCCCTGACTCCATCACTCCAGGATACATTTGGGACTTCTCTCAGTAACCCAGTCTCCAGACTGCCTTTATCCTACCATTTAAGTCACTGTATTACAATGGCCTGTTTGTGCACCCATCTCTGGAAGGTGGGTTCCCTGACGTTGAAGACCATACCCAATGGCTAATACTTAGCCTGTCCCAATGGAGCTCTTCTTGCTGAGTGGCTTCCAGGAGTTCTTCAGTGACTGACAATCAGCCTAGTTCAATCGTCTACTTCCCAGTATGGCTCAACAAACTGCCCGCTACCATGAAACACCAGAAAGAGAATGGGGCATATTTATTTGGTGCATGAATAAAGTGGAAACTATAACTGACACAGGGCTGTATCCTCCCCTTTTGATTCCTAACCTCTGGTCCTAATGTAAAGGGTTTCTAATGTGGGGAAACTCTTTCTTAAGATGACCATTATTATTCATTTTATGACCCTTTAAATCATAGTTCAGCTGCTTTGCATCTCCAGGTTGGACTTTATAGAAAAAATCACTGTGGTGGATTTGAATTCCAAGAACCTCAGGACAAACCCTGCAGCAGCCAGACCCCTGGCTTTGTCCATCAGAACAAGGTGAATTCTCATTAGTCTCTCTCCCTCACTTCCAATATTTTTTCATTGAATATTTTTCACTGTCTCAGTCTTTTTATTTGGCACAAGGAAGCAATATTTGACAATCCTAGAAATAAAACCATCTTGTACCTTTATCAAACGCACTTACTACTTAAACCTGGAAGCTTTGCATGGCCTCTACATTTCTTCCTCAGAGGTAGCAATATGCACCTGAGAAGATGGTCCAGCTTCAGAGGCCAACCCCTTCTTTAACCATTCCTCCAAGCAGCAAGAGTCATGAAAAGAATTTTAATACTGTCCTCCATGGTGCTCATGAAAAACACTATGTCCTCCCTTAATGTCCTCAATAGATTCCTGACTGTGATAAAACACATAACAAACAATTTTTACCGTAGGTTAATCTAATGGATACAAACAGGGTTAAATTCCTACAGCATCTCACCAACTTAGAACAAAACAATATTGAATTTTAAAATGTTGACAACGTGAATAAAGCAATGTTAACCACATTGAATGAAGCAATGTTACTCGAGGACCTGCTGTACTTGTAAGAAGAGAGAAATTGCACAGGATGTTGCATGTCAACCCAAAAAGATGAGCATCAAACATGAGGTGATACTGAAAGTAGCACTGGGAAGGTGGAGGAAAGGGGCATTGGTCCATGGCCTGCCTGCCTCTGGCTCTCTCCTTGCCAAGTACTGGGGGTCCTAGAACCAGAGGGAAAAGAATGGGTGTCTTCTTTCACTTTCCCATTATCACTCTCTCCTGGAAAGTGGATTGTCATGTGTTTAGGGGAGAGAGCAAAGGAGGCCGTGTCTGCTCATACAGGGAAAAGAGTGTTTAGCAGTTTCACATGCAAGAAAAAGGGCTGAGACTATGAATGTTAAGAGGCTTCCAGGAAGGGAATTAAAAGGTAATGAATGTCCTCATTTATGATCCCAGAGAAGTAACTGTGTGACACTTATCCTTTGTGAAATTGTTCTTACCCGTGTCGTTTCCCTGTTTAGTCTCAGTCATCTTGTGTTTGTGCCTGTGGATAATTAGGATAGAAAGTCAGGGGTGTGTATGC